AAAACACCTAACGGTTAGAAAAGAGAGAGGCTCAAACACGCGGGAAACATTCGTTACCATTCATCACCCCACGCGCCTTTATATCTCTCTGCCGCATCTTTTCCAGAACCACTCTCATCCATCTTCTTCCCCTCCTGTTCTGCTTCAACACCAACACTTCCTCTCTCTGATCCCCCTCTCCCCCGTCCCTTTTGTTTTTCCTTGGTGCGGAGCAGGGAGAGACTACAAAGGTCTTTGCTGTGGGAAAACTTGGTTTTGTGGATGCATGAATGATAAAAGCAACAACTTTCATCAAACGTCCTCTTGTCCTCGCTGGTTTTTCTGCCCTCGCCATCATTATTTTCTGCGCCTCTGTTGATCAGTGGCTGTCTGTCTCCTATTCTCCAGCTCCTTCCTTTCCCCTCTCCCTCCATCTGTTCATCCACAGGGTGGCTGTGCTGCAGTGAGTCTGCCTGCGGAGCTTTGGTTTTTTTTCTCCTTTCGTTGCCCTGCATTACGGGGCCTCCCCTGACCTTGTGGTTGGTTTGCTTTTCTTCGCTCGGATCCGCTCTTGATCTACGACCGTTTCCCGGTTCCCCGTTTCCCGCCTCGTCCTCCGCACGTCCCCATTTCTGCTCACCGAATCGCTGAAAGTCAAACTCTGCCCTTCTGATCGCAGCCACCTTCTTTGGCGTGACAGCTGAACAGAAAACGGGGGGATTCGGGTTTAGAGGCTGTTCCCATTACTGCTGCATACACACTGCGTAAAGCAGGCGGTAATAATGCCTCCATTCGGTTCACGTGGTTGTTTAGGGGTATATGTCTGCTCTTAAGCCGGAAAAAAAAAAGAAAGAGAGGGAGTAAAAGAAAGGAGAACAATTTGGCAGAAGAAGATTAAAAAGATGCATATAGATGAGCTTTTAATGAGTAATTACCGAGACAGAGGAGGAACACAACGCTGGCATCGCAGTCGTGATTTTCCCCCTCAGAAGCCATTACACAATTTCCATAAAGACGTTCGCCATCGATTTTTTCTCGTCAGGCCCGGAGCTTAAAGCACCCGCACCCACCCACCTAAGACAGCCGCTATGTACGCCCCCGGTTTGAGAAGAAGGCTCCGAACAAAGAAGCTCAAACGGGCAGTCAAACCTAAAGGTGTGAGGACTCCAGTGCTGCACATCTGGAAGCTGTGAAATGAGCGCTTCAGGTGAGCCGACTCCACAGGTTTGCCTTTAAAAATCGGATTAAGCCTCTCCGGAGCCACAACAGACAAAATATGCTACGACTGAGAGCGATATTCAGGGCAGGCTGCGATGTGACGGGAATGCTGATTCTCAGGAAAAAAAAGAAAAAATATCAGATGTGTGCAGAATGAATCCTGGTTTAGATTTGGAGCTTTTAGGCTTTCAGACTCGCCATAGTCCAGGCTAACAGACAAACATATGTCACTGAGGTTTTCTTCCATTTAAAGCCGACTGTAGAGTCAATGGGATTGTTTTTTTTTGTTGTCACTTTAAGGTTCATGTGTGTCCCAGAAGGAAAGGCTTTAAACTGTCCTGTAAGCGTCCTTCTTCTCAGAAAAATCAAATGGCTGCTTCCAGCTGAGCTGAGTTTTGATCGATTTCCTCATTTTCAGAGCTAATGGCACGTCTCGTCAATATCAAATCTGCACTGACGGTGTTTTCCAAACTAGCCAGAAGCCGAAGCTTGGGCTGTATTTTCAAATCACACTTATTTCCCTGGACATAAATGGCCGAAGCCCTGACCCCTCCTTAAGCTGCTGTCCACTCACAGCCTGCAATCAGGAGGCAAAACACTGAAATCAGGAACAAAGACTCATGAAACATCAGCGATGCCTTCCATCACAATATTTGTTAATTTTTTTACGAAACATGAGGAAGAAAGGTGGTAAAGGGAAAAAAAATCATCAGTGGGATAAAAGAGAAGATAACAGATAATAAAGAGAAAAGAGAGGATTATGAAACAACGCTGACAGCACAGAGCAGACAGAGACAGAGTTCGATGTAGACAGAAGAGGAAAAACACCCAGAAAATGAGCGCAAATAGAATGAGAATCACGGGGGAAAAATGACGGAAAAAAGCTTTAAAACAAGAGAGCAATCAGAAATGTGGGAGGAGAGAAGCAAAAACAAGACAGAAAGGTGAAAAGAGGGGCAGAAAACAACTCCTCCAAAGCAGAAAAATGGGCGGTGAGGAGAGAAAAGAGGGAGACAAGTGTAAATAGAGAGGGGAAATTGGTGAGGGCATTAGAGAAAGAGCGAGAAACAAAAGAAGGGCAGACTAAGAGAATAAAGCGGGAGACAGACAGAGGAGTAAACACAATCCATCACTGCTCCCCTGCTTCCACTCAGACCCACACCACCTCCAGAGTGCTAATCTCTGTATTTCTGCCTCCTTCAGCCTTTCATCTCCTCCTCTTTTCTCTCCGCGTCCTTCCTTCTGCTCTCTGAAGTTTCCTCCGATTAGTTTGTGCCGAGTCTTTTCCCCCTTACGAAATGTCGATTCATTTTGAATGACTCATCTCCTGGGGCCGCGTTCACCTCTGAAAATGGGGGCCCAGCCACCCGGAGCCGGGGAGGCTCTGGCTGTTTGAGCACAGCCGCTGGGACGTTAACAAATATTACCCCCCGCTAAAGGTGAAACCTACAGAGGGAGGGAGGAATGAGCCCAAAAGGCTGCTGCGCGTGGAGCCGAATTCGTTTCGTCCATTTTCGTGAGCTGCAGGGAGCGTTTGATTTGCTTGTTTGGCTCTCAGGCCCCACCGTCCAGCCGCGGTCAGCGGGACACCCACAGGCTGAAAGCAGCCAGAGAGCCCCCGCTAGCTCAACTATAGCGCTCGGAAAGTTCTGATTCGAATTCGGTGTGATGGTACAGCAACTTTCTAACCCGGGGGAATAGCCAGGAGCCCCAGGGAGGAGGAGGAGGAGGAAGAGGAGGAGGAGGAGGAGGTGGAGGGGTCACCAGGGATTCAGAGACCGGAGCAGAGCTCGGCAGGTTGCTACCGCTGAGGACGGATTCTCCCAGCGGGGCGGTTCAGAGCAAGGCAAAAACAACAGGTGGAAACTTCTCTTCTGGAGGAGGCCGAGGCCGGCTTTCTGCAACCAGACGGAAAAAGGAGGAAAAAAGAGCTTCGGGCAAAAAAAATCTCCTCATTCTGATCTTCCTACGTGAAAAAGGGAGGCTTCTTTAGTCAGTTTCAGTGTTAAAGTATAAGGGGAAATGTTTATATGTAAATTAATAATATTATTATCTAATAACTAAAAAAAAATGCTTTTTATTACCTCAGAACAAACCATTTCCATCCTGTTCCTCACAGGAGAGAGGATACATTACCTCCATGAAAGGTACAGGAGCAAGGGCACAGAGGGGCAAAGTTTAGAGATCGACCTGCTCCTTTATGGGAGAAGTTGGACGGAAAACACATTGTAGAAATGAAGGGGTGGTCAAATCAAATCATCGGGGCAGCTTCTTATTTCCAGGTGGAAGTCGCTGATGCAGAAAAAAGTTCTCATATTAAGGTCGACGTTTCTTTTTTTCCCCCTCGACTGGTTTTGTCAGCCACAGGAAAAGATGGCGGTTAAATGCCTCACGTCGCTTTAATGGGAAGCGCGTTGAGAAGTGGAAATAAAGACCAAATAAGTCGATATGACTGGAGTTTGTGCAGAAATATCTGATGCACAAGGCTTTTTCTCTATCGCCTTTGGGTAAAATTAGTGGGTAAAACTAGGAGAAGATCTGAGTGGTTCATATTTTTAATACCATAATGACAGTAGGATGCCCTTTAAACTAGATACAAATATGCTAATGAATATTCTCAGATCTACACTGAAATGAAAAATAAAAAAGAAAGAATGAACGTCATTATAATCGTGCAGCAGAAGGCAAAGAGAAGAGACTTTAAGAGGAGTTAGAGAGTCATTTTTGGGCCTTGACTGAGCGGTAAAGCACTATGTGCTTCCCATAGAATTCCTCCCCACTGTCACATCTTGGTGGTAAAAAACACTAAATAACTGTGGAAGCACCTTTATCCAGCAGCTCTACCCGGCCCACCCCCTCTTTACTTCCCTTGTAGGAAAACGAACGGCGCTTTAAAATGCAGATTTTAAAAAGCCAACTTCCCTCTGAGAGCTAGCCGGGGAGGAGTGTCTGGTTAAGCGGAGCCGTTCGCAGGATGGGGGGGCCTCGCTCAAATGCGTTTCTGGTGAGACTGAGGAATGAGTCTCGCTTGCTTTTGTCGGCCCTCAGCCATTCATCATCCTCATCCCCCGCACTGTAACAATCCCCTCCAAACCCTCTCCACTCATCCCCACCGTCCCACCGCAGAGACTCCACCGGCCTCGCCTCCTTTTTACCTCCATCACTGTCTCGCCTCTGAGCCCCCCCATGCTGACGGATGAATGACAGAGTCTGACAGAGTCTGGGTGGAAAGGAGATAAGGCAGAGGGAGGCTGGCGTTTTGCCTCCGAGGCACTTGAGCTAGCGCTGCGATTCAGAATGAATTAGCAAAATCTCTGTTTAGCGCTTCAGAGAATCCAACCCACAACATCTGCACCCCGCACACGGAGCAACGGTTGGGGCGTGATTAGCGGGAGGAAGTCAGGAGTGGCTCCTTTCGGGTCATTAGGTCGGCTCGCCAACAAACAACACAGGACTAATGAGCGCTCCTCTTCCCTGCACCAGCTTAAAGGATAAACATGCAACACGATGGGCTTTGAAATCATCTTTGGCTGTGGTCTTTAAACCAGAAACTCATTTCTCCTTGTCGTGGAGTTCTTTTGGCCACATAAAACTAAATCCTGGCGGAAACGGCGCTCTGTGCACACATTTGAACACATTTCCAACCAGTACAGACACCTGTCCGAACACAGAAGCGGGAATGGATGGAGAACATCAGAGAAAAACACGGTAAAAGCAAACGGGAAGAGGATAGATTGGACTTTTTAACAATTCCTTTGCCAACAAAGACACACAGATAAACACACATTAAGGTGGGCACTTACTTCCTGTCCTGAGAGGTAGTACGCGGCCAAAAGTCCTCCGATGAATCGAATGTTGACTTCAAACACAGACACCTCAGCATTCTGGGGAAAAAAGGGGGCACAAAACCAAATCTGATTAACTTTTTTCCTACTTTATCCAGCGATGAGAAGCCTTTTAAGTAAAAAGAAGCAGCTAAAGCTTGAACTGCGGCCCACACAGGCCAGGACCCTTTATCGAGCCTGGGTCTGGTGGTCTTCGACCCGTTTCCACCAGAGGAAAAGGCTGATTTCCCCGGCAGAATCCTCACCCGTCCGCAGACCCTCCGCAGCATCACGGCTGCTGCTGCAGACTCTCCTCTCATGTCTGGAAATCTGGGCTTCCTTTGAACACCGGCCCTCCATCCGGCGATCCGTGGGCCGTTTGATTCTGGCCCCGGCTTCGTCAAAGCCGCCTCTCAGAACAAAAAAGGGACGACTCGCCTTTGATTCTTTGATTCAACCTTTTTTTTTTTTCCTTTCTCTTTTTTTCTGGGCTTCAGTCAGTGAAACGAGTGTGGCGACCTTCAGCTAAAAAGGCTCCACAGGCTGAGTTGAGGGCTGGGACACGGATCAGAATAACTTAATGAGTTTTTTTTTTTAAAGGAGAACAAAAAAGAAAAAAAACATTAACACGGGACATTTAATGAGGAGGATGCTGTGTATGTGGTGTAGTATCTCACAAGAGAAGGGACTCTCATAAAGGTGTGGTTTACAGGCCGGAGCCCCTCTAACCAGCTCCCTGTCTGTCTGTCACCTCCACTTCATTAGCGTTAACAGGTGCAGAAGCCATAAAACATCTCTGATTTAAAGAGGTGAGCACACATAAGAAGCGGCAGGAAAAAACAGGCCTTGACTCAATAAATTCTTGTCGTGAAGCCATCTCATTCTCATCTCTGCCGCTACGGGGCAGCTCATAAAATCGGCCTTCGCCTCTTCCACTAGCTGCTGTCCTCCGTTCAAACCCACCCCCCCGTCAGCGTCCGGACATGAGGACGATGAGGAAACATTAAGCAGCTGAAATGAGTAAAAGCTGAAGGATCGCAAAAAGTCCTAAATTACATCTATTCTTTTTTATAAAGATTATTCCTATTTCTTTAAATGATTTTGATATGTTGACACTTTCTTCATATTCACTAAATCCAATCTATGACTTGGTTGCTGTTTGTTTGGCCTGGTAAAGACAAACAAAATCCCAGGATGATAAAAAGTATTGAATCTGTTATGAGAAATACAGTGACGTTCTCAAGTCTAGAGCCTTCATTCACTTCTTTAAATACTATAATGAGAAAAAAGACAAGCAATTTGTTTAAACAAGCAGACATAAGAGTCTGTGGAGTGCTAATAAGCTTAAAGTCAATATTTGGTCTGAGCTCCTTGATTCTCCAACTTGGCCTGAACCCTCTTAGAGAAGCTCTCTGTTACTTCTTTAAGTCCCATACTTCTTCAGTATTGTCGAGGTCTGAGCTCTGGGGAGGATTCATTCCTCCATCAGACCTGCTGCCATGGATTTCCTTCCCGTTTCCTTCCTTAAGGACGGCTTCTTGACAGTCTCCCTTCCATGGGGAGGACTTCTGATGAGGCTTGGGATCGGTTGAGGGTCCAGATGCATCTCTCAGGTCCCGTGTCGGGTATATGTTCGCTTTCAGATCCTCTTCATGACGTGGATCATTTATTTTCTTCCTCACACCATTCTGAGATCTGCCTCGGTTTGGGCTAATGGCTCTTTGGGAAATCGCCTCGTTGCTACAAAAATCCTATTTCCTGTCAGTCAAACCGTGTTATCTTTGATGTTTTGTTAAAGCTGCAGAGACACAAATATGAACAATAGATGTGTCTTTGTTCCAGCCTGCTTGAACACAATTCAAATTGATCTTTGATGAGTCGGCTTATCCCCCCTGAGTTAGATGCCTCTTCTGTGACTGGTGGGTCAGCCCTCCGTCTGTACCGGCCGGCCCTGCATCATTCTGGGAGCGCAAAGCCCCCGTTCCAATCTTTTCTTTATCGACCATGTCAGGAGGAGGAGGTGTCATCCGGGCACCTCATCTAAAGCCCGACTCATATTTTCAGAGTGGAGAACTGCAGCTCCATCACGACTGAAACAGGTTAATCAGACTGGACGGCGGCAATTTGTCCTTCTATCTCCGCCGCTGATCAAATCTTCCCCTTTACAAGGGCTATTAATGCCATAGTTAACGGAGTCTATTAACTCCGATGCCTGTCGGCGGACGTGGATCTGCCGCCGGCACATCCATCATGCGCGGTGCGGGGGCCCCAAACCGGGACGCCCCGGAGTCCGCCGGTGACTCAGCGCCCGCCCCAACCCGACATGGCAGCTCCTTAATCATTCATTAGTGGCAGCGCTGAGGCCAGAGGATCGGCGGCAGCAGGTGGGAGGCTGAGCGGCCGGGCCCCGTTGGCAGGGCGGTAGACAGCATGTGTACGCATTTGTTCAAGCAAATGAGACCCACTAAAAAACACACACGCTTTAAAACCTTCCATTCAGATAATGAAACTGAAGCAGCAGGCTTTACTTCAAATCTTCATCTTAAATATAACTGAACTTAAGTCTTTTTATTATGTATTAATAACTCCAGACTTAGACAAAGTCCCTAAAATCCAGGTTTAAGTGGGAAACCCACTCACATAAACATTAAAATGATCATTTTGTTATATTAATGTGCCTAAGATATTTTTTAGGGTAGGTATTACTGATCACAGAACAGGATGGACTGTTCAGATTCTTTGGGGGTTTTTGTCTGCTAGCTGTGGGACGGTCGGCCTCACATCTGACTCTGAACGCTTTGGGATCCAGAGGAGCTCCTCCTGGACTTTCAGGTCCTGATGCTGCAGGAGCAGCCCATACCATCATTCCTCCACCGCCGTGCTGACAGCTGGTCTGAGGCGTCTGTGTCTGGTTTCTGTGCTTTCGGAGCTTTGTTCAGACGCAGCTTTTCTGTTCTTTTTTTACACGCGGGAGGCTTTCCCCTGCAGCCAAAACAAAGTTGAGTCTTTTTCTAACCGTACTGTCATGACCTTTAACCCTTAACATGCCAACTGAGGCCTCTAGAGTCTGAGTTTTTTTCTCTTTTCTTACAGTATTTCACGGTCTGACCTTGGGGTGAACTAGCTAGGATGTCCAATCCTTTGAGCCCCACTGACTGTAAAAGTTAAAATAACAGTTTATGGCTACAATCAAAGCCCTTTCCTGCCATTCGTCTGATGTCTCTCCTCCTTGGAATTCTGCTTTAGCACATTTGAAGGACACAGAGCAGGAAACAGCCAGAATATCTGGGTGGGCTCAGTGGTTCAAACATCTTCTGCTGTCCTGACACAAAGCCTGCATGCCTAGAGTTTGTACTTCATACTTCACATGACCCACTGTAGCTAGCATTTTAAATGTTCTCCCTGAACCGATGCAAATTCAAATCTCATTCAAAGTCAGGGCTAATTAAAAGGCATTAATCACGGCAAAATAGACAGAGATGAAACCTGCTCCGGCAGACAGCAGCAGCAAAGTTCAGAGCCACACTTGGGAAGCTGCTCTCACTCGGGCAGGTGATTAAACCTGACTAAGACTGATGGCTTTAATCTCCTAAGTGGAAATCCAGACTACGGCTTCGTTCCGCTCTCGGAGCTCCGACCAGAGAGGGTGTCTCCACCTTCAGTCCGACGGATCTTAGATGATCGGGGGGGCCGGGCGTAATGACGTTTAGGTGCAAATGAGGCCGTCCGACCGCGCCAGCTTGGAAAACGCCGCTCCGAGTGAGTTGGGAAAACGGAGCCGTGCCAGCAACAAGCCCACCTTTTCATAAATATTCCAGCAGCTGATAGCAGATGCCTGAATGCGCCAGCTAATGCGGGCGGGTGTAAACCAGCCTATTAACCAAAGCACGGAGACACACCTCCCTCCTTCTCCAGCTTGTTAACAAGAGCTTCAAGTCTCATCCTTCCTCCTCTTCTCCTCCCTCCATCCCCTAATCCCCTCACTCCCTCCAGTGTAGGCAAAGTGGCTCTCCTCTCCCGCCTCTCATTCTGGTTACTCAGCTCCAGCACATCTGCGATTGTTCCCTGTTTTTCTCTCATTGCTGCTATTGTATTTTTTCACACGTCACGGTCCAAAAACATTGTGGGTTCTAGAGATTGGAAAATAAAGTCATTTGGACAGAATAAGTGATGTTGAGGCTTAAATCTTGGACTAAAACGCTCCCTCTTATGCAATTAGTCTCGTTATTTTACAATCAGTGGACTTTCAATTTAGAAGAACCATCAGGCTCACTGAAGTGGTCAGCCTTACCAGCCACTTTGGAGGGATTTTTAACCTTTTTCTGAAGCTTCACATTACCCTATTTGACCTTTTTTTTACCAAAACCCAGCAGCCTGCCTCAAACTTACTCCTAATTACTTTAAAAAATCAAATCTGAAGACTCAGACACGCTTCATGTGTTTTAGATTCAAAGCAGCTCTCATTGATCTTTTCATTAGGGATTTAAAGGTTTCAGATAAAATGTTGTTCACTGGTTGAGCCCTTCTTTGAGTCGGCTAACACAGGCCTACAGCGATGGGAGCAGTTTGGGCTCCACGGGACAAACACAAATAAAACAGACGGAAACTGACAAATTAACAACAAGCAGTAACTAATTCAGTAATTCAGAATGACCAGTTTGGTGTCATTTCAAAATACAATAACCTCAGCGTATCCCCACTAGCATCCTCTCCATCGCTCTTCATCTTCTTTTTCTGTCTCTCCCATCTCGTCTGTTCTCTATGCTCCGCTTCTCCAGACCCAATTTATCCCCCAATCCTCTGCTCCTTCCAGTTCTCCATCACCATTTTGTCATTCCATTCCCTTTTCCACCGCGCAGCCACAATGATCCGGGGGTTAATTAGCCCTCCTGGTGTCAGGCTCTCAGATGCCCTCTGCCTGCCTGCTAGCTGCCCAGCAGCTGCCTGAGCCAGGGGACTAACAAGCATGGAGCTCACACACTGGCGCTGGTGGAAAGGATGTGACGGGAAACCAAAGGGGGGAGCCGTGAAAAAGGCAGACTAAGGTGCGGATGGAGAGATCTGAAGAGAATTTCGGGGAAAGGCGGTTCGAACAAATGGGATTAAAGGCTGGAGGAGATTTCAGGGGAAACAAAAAAGAAGTGAGAGGTATAAAAGGTGAATAAATTAATGTCAGAAAGCAGGACAAAATGAGTAATGAAACAGGAAGCAGGTTGAAGGGTAAAGGAATGATAAAGAGAGACAGATCGTGGAGGGATAAAAGAAGGCATGAAGAAAATACAAAGGATGGGGCGGCTGTTCTGGAGGGAGGGGGGACGAAGAAAAAAGTGATTATGGGAACGGACACATTCTAAAACATAACACTAAGTGGCAGAGAGCTGGTAATGGAAGGGGGGAATTTTATTTTTGCCTAAAAGTTAATGAAGCAAAAGAAACCGATGGCAAATTCCAGATCCTGGAGGGTGTTATTAAAAAAAAGAGAAGGGAAGAAATGCAAATAAAAAGAAAAAGTAATGAGGTGGGGTGCGAGAATATGCAGGAACTCCAGGAAAAGGGGAGGGGCAGACTGACAGGTGAAAAGGAGGAGAGGAAAGCTGTTAATAAGAGGACTGAAACGGGAAATAAATGAGCTGGAGGGCTGACGGACAAGAAAAGCGAGAAATCAAAGACAAACAGATCTGTCCTGACAGCGCTTTCTTAAAATCTGGATGCATTCAGACTGGGACGGGAAGGTTTACATTACGGAAACACAGAGCAGAAAAGCAGATGACAAATTTAGAGAGGGCAAGACAAACAGCTATAATTAGTGGAGAGGTCAACACATGTGCAACATGGTTTCGACTTTGACTAAAAGACGAGGATTAGGATCCATATTTAGACGCAAATGCATCCATCAAAATGAGCAGCTCTCATTTCGTGCTGCTTTCTGCTTTTAGGTGGCAACACCGGCAGAGTTTAATTTCCTTATCACTTTGAGGAGTACCATATCATAAAAAACAGCTTATCCTGAGCTAGAAGGTAGGTTTGTTATGATATTCAATGGTAGAATAATGCAGCCCTTACACTCCGCTCTGTCTAAAAAACCCATTTAACCTCATACCTCGCAGCTTTTTTCTTAATAGCCAAGTTATTTTAATCTATTTTGAGCTGAGGAAAGCTGCTATCCTTTTAGTAAAGCTTTTCAGGCCGTTTTGCATCAGAAAACAAGGCTGTTACGCACCACGCCGAAGTCCAGGTTCTGTTCGATCCAGTCCTGGCCGTCCTTAAACTCCTCGTGCAGACCCATGATGTAAAGGGTGTCCAGGGCGTCCACAATAGAGGCCCCCAGCTGAGAGTTACCTGTCAAAACAAATCCGGGTTACATGGGATACTGCGTGTGTATTAAATCTCCTGTGAATCACAAATGCTAGTTAAAGTAAATTCTTCAACTAACATTAATCCATTTGGAAAAGTAGCCAAGGCCCAGACGCATTAGGGCAATATTTTGGGGCTGAATGAGCCCGCCCCCCCCATTGCCCATCGGCCACAGCGTGAACTACTTGAACTCCTGCTGGCTGTCGCTTCTCATCTATGCCTCCATTCAAAAGGAGTGTCTCGGCATCAGGCTGGGGCTGAACCGGCATTAGCGCCACGGACAGGAACCCCTAAATCTGTGTAAAAACAGGCAGGCGTGGCAGAGAGGGCCATCTGCCCGGTCCTCAGAGGGGCAGGGCCCCCCTTACGGTGACCATGCCGGCGCCAATACCTGTAAAACTGACTTTTGCCGCCTATTTCAGAAAAAAAAAAAAAAATTTCAAATCCCAGATGGGTCATTTATTATTCAGTGTATTTCCCTTCTCGGCTTGGAATTTCGCCAGTAACGTTAAATTTGCAGTTCTGACGAACGCGTTAGCTTAACCTCGAGCCGCTTTGCTCATTTTGAGACAACACTGTGGTCACACCTGAAGGAAATGCCTCCCCCACCTGAACCCCATCTCCTCTGCACCCCCCCCCCCCTTCTTCTCCCTCCGACCCATCTCTCCGCTGGCCTTCGTCCATCACTGCCTGGCTGTGTTTTTCCTAATCTCGTCTTGATCGCTCTATCCAGACCCCGGCTTGGCAGATACTCCCCCCCCCCCGGCCTCTCGGTGAGTGGATTTTCCTGTCCTGGGCTAATATTTGTATTCTTGGGCAGCCTTTTTCCCGGCCTTCCTTATCTGGGAGTGCAGCGTCTCCCGGCTGGTTTCCAGAACCGCAGCCTTTCATACATGAAGCGGTTCGGGGGCTGCCAGGCGCCGCTTATCTGAAACAAATTGGCCTGGATGGCGTTTATTTGGGCGACTTATCGCCGCGGCTCTGCTCACACATGCCCCCCCATCAGATGAAAAACTCAAACGCACTCATCTTTGCTTAACGTGCACTCGTTTCTCCTCTCACCTGCAGATCCCCCCCCCCCCCCTCCCGCAAACCCCCTTCTCCCCTTTTCACCATTCCCAGCTCCATCTATCACAATTTCACACCTCTCTCTCCCCCTTTCCTCTTCCATTATCGCTGCCTCCAACAGCCAGACCTGCTATCATGGCCACCGCGGGTTTCATGAGGCGGCGGGCTTCAGAATTCACTCCAGGCTGGAGAACGCCGTGCAGGTTATTCGAGCAACGCTCTTTCTTCGGACCTGTGAACTGGAGGCTGCATCTTTCATTTAAAAAGAAAAGGGTTCTTCGGTTGTAAACGGGTTGGAGGAAAGTACTTCAAAGCAAATACTCCCTCGCAAGTAGTTTAGATGCTGCTCTTATTCAAGCTCTTAGAACAATCTTTGACTCCTTAAAAATTAATAACGCTCTCGGTTAAGAGTTCTGGGAATGTTCAAAGGTGAATTCTAGAAAAAAAATACAGCTCACTACAACGTTGGCTGTGGATAATTCAGCTATTCGTGCTTTTCCTCCGTCACGGGCACACTGATAAGCCGGGCTCCCTGCGTGCACTGTGCAGGGATCACTAACACAGACACTCATCTGAGCTCTGAGACTACTTTGGACGGTCTTATGATTTAGACATATTCGTCTGTGTGCTGAAGTGGAATTAGCACCTATTAGCTAGCTGGCCCCATTTCACTGAAGAGGCCACTTCGGCTGCCTCATGCTCGGTGGTATTCTTCAACAACTCAAGATTTCGCAAGACATTTACTGTGACCGTTTTTTCAGCTCATCATCAGGAGATCAAAGCAGGTGTTTTAGCAGGTGTCTTTTCAATTTGTGGAGTTTATCAGGGGGCTTTCTGGCCCTTTAAAAATCCAATTTTCTGTCTGGTTTAGGTGGGGGCGCCCAGTACTTTACCTTTTCTGGTATCTTCAGGTCACAATACTAATCATTTTGTGCAGCGGCTCAGATAAAATAACTCTGAGGATCCATTATTATGTAAAATGGAGAACAGTTAGCGTGTGCACCATGAATCTTCTCCTCTGTGGCACTTCAGCCTGTTTTGCAAAAAAGCCAAGCGGCGCTGAACAAAGCCAAGCCAACTCCCCGAGCCAGCACAGGCCGGCCTGGCAGTCTGATAGCTGCTAACCAACTTCTTTGGCACCAGAAGCGAACATCTGCTGCGCCGTGATTCCAGCCTCGGAGCGCCGACTGGTCTGACCGGGCCTAACATGAGCTTGCTGGCTCCACTCCAGCCTGATTGCTTGTTTCTAGGCCCCGCGCCCGAGTCAAAGCTCTGAGCGGGGGTTTTAGCAGCGGCGACGTATGGCGCTAACATCAGCGCAGACACCGAGACAAACCCAGAGGTTAACGGGGGACAAGTGGAGCTCCGGGCACAAAAACGAAACCTGCGACATCAACCACACCGTCGGTGTTTCGCAAAATTTGGTGGGACGTTATTAGATAAAGTGTCCAACTAAATGGCAATGTTACACAGTGAAACCACAGGCCAAGCCGGGATTACGCTGGTCAGTAAGGTTTCAGATCACCAGAAAATGAGTGGATTATTGAGCTGAGCTCAGCAGCAGAACCACCTAATTTTTTCCTATTAGTCAGCTGAGTATTTGTGGTTCAGTATTTGTGACTCTGGCTACAAAATATAATAACAGCAGTTTAAACAATAATGAGAAGACTTTCCTCTGAGACGTCGAAGGTTTTCTTTGGATGTTTTTTGACTCCTCAGGTGTCACGTGGGGACAGGACGTATGCTTATGTTTGGGGTGAACATTCAGGATGCTGAGTTGCATAAAACCCAGAGCCATCTAAAGATGTTTCGGCCTCAGTGCGCCCCGTACATTTCCGGCCATTCGCATAATTTTGTCATAAAATAACCATAAAGCTAATTAGTGCCGTGCAGGGCAGGGCACCAAAGTCATAAACGGCACTTCTCTCAGCCTCTTTGAGGCTCAAATTGCCGTCCTCTGAATCTGAAGCTTGAAGCTTTAGGGTTCACAGATTTCTGAAATATGGATTATGCTACCAATGCTATGAATGGTCGTGGATGAATCCTGGCTCGTACATTTTAATAGCCCAGGGGTATGACAGCAGGCACCGACGTCAAATCTCCACTAGTTCACCAATTTAGAGACGAGGGAAAATTCTATAAAAGCCCAAAAGGTTGGTTAATAAAAGCAAATCGGCCGGAGAATGGTGAAATCTACATTAAATCCCACAGCAGGACTGAAAAATGTGTAATTAATACTAATGTGTTGGATGTTTTGTTGGTAGAAATCAATGTTCAGCTGTGGAAACGTGAGAGAATTTAATCCGGGGAGTCCTCATCCGTCAGCACGCACAGCTCGGCAGCATCCGGAGCCACGTCGGACGGATGGACCCGCATGGCAACGGTAACTAAGAGAGAAGGAGCTCAGCGAGGGCTCCCTTTCTCAGACGCGCCTCACCCTCCCCCCTCCTTCCTCCCTTACAGTGAAGTCATGACCAGTGGAAACTTTCCTCCAATCCGGCCCTTCTTCCAGCCACAGCCTCCAGCATCTCAGCTAAGGAGTGGCATTTCTGTCCAAAAGATGATTATTTCAACGATTGACTAGTCAGCTTCTGGCTGTGCCCTACAGACCAGAAAGGATCTTAGTTTTCCCACACGAACTTTGCATATTGGGTTCATTTGTGTAAAGTTAATGACACAATATGACTGTGTGAGGGTGCACTCACCAATTCTCAGGACCAAGTGGGAAGCAAATGGGTCTTTTTCACATTCCTTTACTTCACAAAGTGGATTTTTGGCTTTTTTGCTGGGAGCAAAAACTAATCGGGACTTCTTTTTAGGAGCTTTTATGTGTTTCGGGCGTTGCCAAACGCGTCGGGCTAACCCCTTTACAGGGTAACGCTGGCTGCTGAATGCAAGGGTCAGAGGTCACGGGCTGGTTTGAGCACCGCTGAAATTCTCGCTGATGCTGCTTTTCCACGCATCTGATGACGTCACCTGTTCCCAGTTAACCCGATCGCCTGTGAAAAGGTCTGAACTGTTTAGTGGAGCTTCCCTCAGCGTTTCGAGGATTTGGCTGCATCTATTGTGCTTTTTTTTGGAGCATGCTGCAACAACATTTTTGCAACAAACAAAAAAAAAATTATTCGTTTTAATATTAAATATTGCGTCTTTGTGGTTTATTCAATTGTATAAAAGTTTAAAGTGGATTTACAGATTGGACCAATCAGATTTTATTTTTCTTCTTTTATGTATGAGAAAATTCAATTTTACCAATTTGTTTCACCCAGTTTCCACTCCGCTAATATACCATGCATAAATGCTAGGAGGTAAATGGCGCCATATTCTTACCAGGGACCACAAATAAATGTACTATTGTTGTTAACTTTTGAGTCTGAAAGAGATGTTCAGCTCTAAAAAAAGGCTACAGAGTTTATTGATTAGAAGAGCTGGGAATCAGAGTTACGTCAGGTCCAATACTGTGGCCTTCTGGCTGAGAAAAAAACTAAATGTTGACTTCCAGACAGAAGTATCAGGTAGAGTGTCTGTCAGTGATTTCACATACTTTAATTAAAAGCTAACAGTTCCATTTTGGTCCAGATTTTTTAAACATAACTCACTGCTGTGCAGTTTCCACTCAGCATGTGTCAAACTCTTAATGGTGAGACGTCTATGGGCAAACAACCAAAGTTTTTCCGTAATGGAAAAAGTGTCTGCTGTGAATAATAAAGTGAGCTCTTTAGGAGCACAGTCATGTGTCCAAACAGCGTCCCGGTTTCGCGTCGCCTCCACCACCTCCGCCTCCCTCTGCCAGGAACTCAGATCAGATCATTTTTGGAGAGCTCAGCTTTGGTTTGAACAGTCTGAAGGCTTTCAGGGGAGTCGGGGGCCGTGAAACACAGCGCAGAGGGCAGCGCCTTCAAACGCCTCCCGGTAACAAACTACATTAGCGGAGAGCAGCAGGTCTGCGTCTTGTGAGAGGTAAAAGAAGCTGAACACATCTTTAAAAGACCTGATGGTCTAAATCCAAAGCTTTTACAAGGTGTCCACATTGAATATTTACCAGAGAACCAATGGGCTGCTATGTTTCTTTATTTATTGGTTATCTAGAGGCTGCTCGTCAGAGATAAGTTCCAGGATTATTACACAACTGCACATTTTTTGCCTTTTTGAGCAGAACTTTTGCACCCTTAAACCATCCTAACCCAGGTTTTCTTTACAGGACCACGAGGAACACACACCCTCCAGACACAGTGTGTGTTTGGATGTGCGCTCAACACCTGCCGCTTGAGTTTGACAGAATAAAAAAAGATCTGTGCTCGGTGCCTCTGTGAGAGCCAGAGGCCTCTTGTTACCACTGCGCCCTTGTTCTCTCCGGGCAGATTAAAGCCGAACAGTAGAGAAACCAGAGAACAAAAAGAGCTTTAGAGGCTGGTTTTTGAACGACTGCGTGGAGGGCTTGTTCGCTACACAAACTGGAGGCAGGCTGCTGCCTGTAGGAGTTCCTGCCAAGCGGGATGGCTGCTCTGTTGGAGAGGTGAAATCTTTCCGAATTCCCCTCCGGTCGATTAAGTATTACAAGTTAAATTCATGTAAAAGTAAATGTAATCCGTGTCTGGGAGGCTTTACAATCAATGTGCTTTGGATCGGGGCCTCAGCAACGGAGACAACACAGCAGAGGGCTTTAAAGCCACATCTGGCTGTGTTTCTGTCCCCTTTCTGTGTCGCCGTCTCAAACCCATCACGATCGATACAGCCATGTTCTGACAGGGGACAGGACACCCCTTCATCAATAATGTAAGCCTGCTTCCTGGTGAGGGCTTTTCAACAACCTGCAGATTCCTCTGCTGTGACAGAAACTCAGATGATAAGAAAGTGCTGGGGACATGCTCCAGACACAACCGGCCCCCGTTTAGCGTTTAGCAGCGGCCCGTAAAAGTAACAAGCGCCTCCGGCTCCAGTTAGAAACCACAATAAGCACAAATACACAAAAAGGCCCAATTATCGCGCTGTAAAAAACACATTAAGCAGCATCTCCAAATGGATACAGTCACACTTAAACGAGAGCCACACGGGGAGTGGAGCTTCGTTATGAATAATGCCCCCCCCGCCCGGCCGCGGGGGGCGATTAAAACAGCAGGTTAAGGCAGAAGCAAACGACACACGCTTGCTCCAAGGGTCAACTTGACGGGCACCATGTTAAGCCGGCGTACGCTCGTTTTTTAACTGGAAGCCTAAACCCACAAACGGGGCAAACATCCAAACTCCACACGTTTAGGGCCAAGGCCGGGTTTCAACCCGGCAACCGTGGGCCAAACCCCCACTGATACGACGCTAAGAAAAAGGGATAAAGTCTCCTCTGCTGGGTTGTAATCGTGGGCAGCCTCCTCCTCTCACGTCTCTCAGCTGAGTGGCCTCAGATCAGCGTCTCCGCCTCCAAACAGAAGCTTCCCTCAGCGGATAAACCCGAAACGCCTCATTAAGGATTTCATTCTTTTAAAATAACCGCAAGCCATGTGACCCCCCCATTGTTTGGGTCAATATTTACTCATTCATCAGGAGAGAATCCAAGTCTAATAAAAACAACCTCCAAATCACATCAACCTGAAATAATAAACTCTCATTAATGTCGCTCTGATCATTAAAAGTGGAGCGACTGACTTGGATGCTAAACACCAACTTGTTTTCAGGATTTTTGAAGGTAAAAAAAATACTTTAATTAAAGCGGATGAATACACCAGGGCCTCGTTTCCGGAGACAAGGTTCAGCTCAAATGGCTTCTTTAAAAACCTGAAAGCATCTTTGCAACGATGGCTCTTCTGAGCTGAGTAAAACGCATTAAATACTTCTTCACCCCCCCCACCCATCTGGTTTGTCAGAGATGTGTGTGTATGTGTGTGTTTGCAAACACTCTGTCAAAGTGATGTTTCCTGCTGCAGGCATTATCACATAACCTTGTACACAAGGAAAAAAAAAAACTGTGTGAGTGTGTGTGTGTCAGAGTGTAAATGGGTCTGGGCGATAACAAGATGAAGTGTGTGTGCAGTCACGCGTGCATTTGTGTGTGTGTGTGAGAGCGAGGCGCCAACGGGCACAGGCAGCAGAGGGGGGAGGAGCCTGTGTCCGACTTACCAAAGATATTGGTGGAATGGCCCTTCTTGGCGATGGGCTTCAGCTCGTTGTGGCCCCAGCCGTACTGTCTGTAGCTGTCCCAGGCGTGCTTCATCATCTGCAGGCAGAGGGAGGAAACATGTCACCGCCCGTCCCAGCTTTGCTATTTTTTCCAATGTCAATGTAACAGACAAACCGCGTCTCCATCCATCTACCATGGACGCTACCTGCTTTAACAAAGAGCTCATCCCTCACGTGACCTCTGAATGAGGCCGGCCCTGACACCGAGGCCGAGGAGCTTCAGGGCGAAGAGGGAAGACGACTCAGCCAAGCCCCCCCCCACCCCCCACCCCCCGCCTCTCCCACCCCCCGCCTCTCAGCTCTCCACATGCCTCACTCAGGCTCTGTTTTCATATCTGCTGCCCTCTCTGCTCCTTCGAAACGCTAAAACGCGCCATGTCTGATGTTGAAAATGTCACTGATCGCACTGAATTATATCAAAATTTCAAAATATAGTATTTCCCATCCGGTTTGTTTAGAATTAGACTCGCCAGAATAGGAGCTGTATTACAATTTCATGTGCGCTGTGGAGGAATTGACCGTTTCCAGAGATGGTAGCGTCCCTGGCTTTTGGACAGCCTTTAGACCCGTCTGGCTACCTTGTATTTCTATTCTCTGACCTAGCTTGCCGTGCTGCCTTTTTGCCTCCATTTGGGGACGCATGGCCAGACTCAGGCGCCCGGCCAACCCGACACAGACGGTTCTTGGTTGTGTTCTTGGCTCTGTGGCTTTCCATGATGCCCTCCATCCACACCAAAATTAATCTTCCTCTCTCCCACATGGACGCTTTAGCATTGGCCTCTTCCTACTGATTCGTTTGGCCCCTGAGACGAGGACCGGGCCTCCTGACAATGCCGAGGTGCATAAAAAGGACTGGGAGGTACCGACCGGACGCAGAGATCGACAGATTCCGGTTTCGTGGGAGAATCGGTCTGAGCCGGCCCGAGCGGCTGCCTGGTTCTGTAGTTACAGCTGAAGCCCGTTAGCCAGAACAGAGAAGTCCACCCAGCAGCTTGTGGCGCCCAATCAGCTCGGACAACTTCCCAAAGTAACTCAGACAGATAAACACAGCCTGTTCTCGCCCAGGATTAGTCACGGCCTCAGCTGCCGATGCTAATTGGGGCTGGGATAGCTTAGAACTGTACCATACATATTTCAATCCCAGATATATCAGCCGTAATGAGACGTGGAGCCTTTTTGCTCAATAATCAGTTTCCTTTTTTTTTTTTTTGCAGTCTGCCACATAAACCTTTACTTTTTTAGTTGGGAAACCGTTTTATTAGTCGATCCCTTCCACTTTATTATCGAGAGAATTTTGTTTGGGCTGGGAGAAGGAATCGTTTCCGGCCATGTGAGAAAATACGGTTCGTCTTGCCATAAAATGTCCTCCTTCCACCACTTTTACAAGCCGGAACCAGCAGATGAGCGTATCGCCTTGCAGCATTAGGTCAAACTGTGACCAGAGGCGGTGCTTCCCATGGCCCCCCCGTCCTGTGCAGCTTTTAGCTGTGCAGACCCGTCAGAAAAACCTGACGGGTGCAAACGGGGATCTCTCTGACCGACTTACCTTCGTGAGCCTCACAAAGCTGAACGGCACAGCGTGTCTCCTTGTTAAGGAGCGACTGAGATAAGGACGGATTGCTCCAGATTAAGCCGTAATAATGGACGTACGGATGGATCTGAGGCGGTAGATCAGAGTGCTGGGGCGGGTCCCCGTTTCCGGAGGACACTGGCGGGCCCGGGCCGCTGCCGCAGTGGGTTAATTAAGCCAGCAGCATTATGCGGTCCGGCTCGCCTCGGAGAGGAGCGGCGGCCCGGGAGGGGCCGCACGTTCTGAAGGTTAGAGCGAGGGAGATTAAACGGCCCCCGTCCCACCGCCGCCCGCTCAGACGGCGAGCGGCCAGAGGAGAGAGTCCGAATGCGGCAGCAGTTTTTACTCCAGCGATTTATCCCTGTGGTTTAGAAAAGCAGGAGCACCCCATGAAAAGCTCGGCTTTTTAAGAGAGCTTAACTATTATCTTTTCACGATTCTAATTTTCTGATTTTCTCAACAGCTTGGGACGACGGGAGCTTCTTTTTCCCCATTTAGATTCTGTTTCTAACAGAAAATACAGTCGTGAGACGGAAAGCCCGAGTGTGACATCCTCATTAATGGTCATCCTTCTTTCTTTCCGTCTTTCTTTGATACTCCTCAGTCTGATCTTAACACAAAACAAAAGGGAGCCTCTGCTGATGCTTTCGGATGATTCGGATTTGGCCGCCCCGTCCCGCCCGGCTTTCTAATAGAAGCTGTGACCTTCGCGGTAATAGTCGGAAACGGTGGAAGAGAAGAGAGACGTCCGGCCTTTTTCCGTTTTACTGCAAACGAAAGCACAATTAAGGCTCGGCTCCCCTTTTCCTTCATGTCACAGTCTCACAAAACGTGGACGTGGGTAACCAGAACGTGGGGAAAAGGCTGGTGCTTCTGCAGGTTTTTAGAGGCATAGAAGAAGAAGAAAAAAAAAGTTTGACTGGCTTTTAGTGTTTTGAAGTGATGGAGAGCCGAGCTGCTCGGAGTGACCTCCAAAAGCTGATTTAAAGCCCCCGTCCAGCTGCTCTCGTTCTCATCTTTCTCCCGTCTGTGCGGCTCCCCCCACGCGGGCCTCAGTCTGCCCAGCAGAAGGTCTCTCAGAAGATGCATGAGGCTGCTGGGAGTGTGACGTCCGGACCGCCTCCCTGGGTAAATACATCCTTCGCGATAAAGTCCCCATGAAATTGAAATGAAATGAGTTTGCGTGGCCCGTTTTTTTTTATTTTATTGCAGCGCCGCGTTCAAAAGACGGCGACGTCCCGTTTGCTCGGGGTTATGAATGGAGGCCGGCGAGGAGCCGAACGGGCGACTGCGCCGGTTCCATTAGCGCCTGAATGGAAACCGAGCGGACGCCAGGAAGGATTTTCAGAGTCCCGTTTTCAGCAGGACGAGCGGAAGCTGCAAAAGGCTTCGGCATGTAGGTCACTGTCCCCATTACCCACCTCTGCTAATCGCACAGAGACTCTAAAAGTCAATTTTTTGCGTCTCTTGTCTTTTAAAGGCGTTTTTAATCTTTTAGCCGGTGAGTCATGAGATCCTCGCAAGAACTAAATGCTTTAGAAAAGCAAGTGGGGGAAAAACAGAAGTGTGAAATATGACGATGAATGGAAAACACTCTTGAGTTAGAAGTAGAAACTGTGTCCATGTTAGTCTGCAGAAATAAGATACGCTTCTGAAAAGAAGGCTGAGTTAGAGGGCCCATAGCAGCTCTCCTTGCTAAGTTTTTGGCAAATTCAGCCAGTTACCAAGAGAAAAATGCCCTTTGGTAGTCCACAGAAGAATAAAAAGGAGGAAAACCTGCACAGAGATGCTCTACTGTGGCGACAGTGGACCAATCATGCTACAGAAAGAGAAAGTTTAAGCCAGGAAATGCTTTTGAAATAGCCTGGGGAGGAAGAAGAATGTTTTCTTTTTCCCCAAGGTCTAATTGTAAGTAAGTACAGGCCAGAGAAAGATAAGGGGAGAGGATTTGACTTGGTGGGCCAAACAAATTATATGATTCAGTGTGAACCAAACCATTGAAAAATGGCAGCAAAGGGTTGGTTTCCCTTTAAGGGCGAGAAGCATAAAGCGATTACTCCAAAAAATTGAGCACTTGACTTGTTCGGCAGAGGAAAATGATTGCGCTCATTGTTCGGATCAATCGATACAAAGTCTTTATGAAAACAGATGAATTCTGAGCTCTAACGGTGTGAGCGAGGGGAAGCCTTTGGAGCGTGAAACGCCGGGGTGGAAACAAATCCAGTGAGAGGGAGAAAGGTGGTTAAACATGGAGGCAGCAGAGTGAAGAAAGCCAGGGAGGCCATTCAGCAGCACACGCGTGTGCACGCAACCAGCTGTGGAGTGCACGCACAAGGGCACCTGCCATGTGTTGCTCAGCCTCTGAGGTGAATGAAGGAGGATCCTCAAGAGTTTATATTTCTATTTACTATTGCTTTTTATCCAGATTTGACCGTCTTTAAGAGTCTAAAAAACACAGAATTATAGATTAAAATGACTACATTTGGTCAATACGGGTGGTGTTTGTCTCCAGAATACAAAAATAACAAATAAAAACAAGTATAACACTGTCATGACTTATTAAAGGGGCAAAGCGTCCTTAAGGGGCAACTTCTGTCCTTAAGGACCCAATGATTTAAACCGAAAATATTTGAATGAGTAACTGAACCAAACAGGTCATTTATTTTAATCTAAACTGTCAGTTTACAGTAAACAAGCTTTTAATTCTATACTGCATCGCTAATATCCATAATACTAGAGACGAACAGGGATTATTTACGCAGAGCCAATTCTCAGTGAAAGTCATCTGAGGGAAATTTACAGAGAATGTAAATTAGATAAAGTCCAGTTCAATATTATGGATTCTACTCGTTTCTAAAGACAAATGGGTAGCTTTTTTTCTGAATATTTCTTGTTTTAGTGCCGCTACAGGTTAAAAGCACCAAAATAGACATTTGAAATGAAGTTCCCTCGTCTTCTTTATTCCATTACTTCTGTTCTCAGACACGTCTAGGTCAGGAAAGACGCACCACACCAGCCACTGAAAGCTGGGAAAGACAATGCCTTGGTCTCCTCTTCAGGTGATAAAATATGCATTCGAAAGGCATAAAGCAAGTTCATTTCTATTTCTGGGGCAGCAAATGGCCTGAATAGCATGACAGACATGAAAAAAGTTCCCCGCTGGACCAGACTAATGTCCCCAAACGCCCCATTCATCAGGACGGATTAGAGGGAGGGGTCTGAAAACAGCACATTCCCAACTAAATCCTCAATATTTCCCAACGTTTTGTTGTTCCTTTTCGGGTGTTTATTCCAGTGTGCGCAGCTGGAAAATCAATCGAAACTGATCGTTTAACGAGAAGCAAAAGCTGCAATCGCCCACCGCTCGGAGGCAGGGACTCTGATCATGTGACTAAAACAGCTTCAAAAAGCTATTTTGCCTCCTGGCAGTCAGGTGAAGAAAAGAGCTGCTAAAAGGCACGCAGTCAAGACTTCCTGTCAGTGTGAGACAGACACGATAAGACGAATGTGAGCTCCAAACCTCCTCTCTGAACTTGACCTGGCGGCCTGGAGGCGGAGCCCCAAACGGCTGCCTCCTCCTCACTAAGGCCGCTCTGCAGTGTGCTGTTCTGCTCCTCCTTGGCCACCGGGACGGGGGGGGGGGGGCTGTGCTGCTGCCCGTACAGCTGCCACTGTCTCGCTCGTTTGGGAGTGTATGGCATTCGCTCTAATTGTGAAAGCTAACAAAAGGGGCATTTAGAGACAAAGGCGGGCTGGGATGGCGAGTGTCGTGGCTCCAAGTGCTGCTTCACGAGAGGCGATAGGAGGCAATTATGCAGAAGGGCCCGTGGCTCCGGGAGGGAGACGCGCAGGGGCTGGCCAGGCGGGCACGGAGAGCCGGACCGGTTAGAACCGTCTGCATTCTGCACGTGCGCCGTCCGCCTGGCTCGCCGCCGCTCCGACGGGAGCTGGCGCTATTGCAGGTGGCAACCCAACGAAAAGCGTTCAGACACAGCCCAGGCAGGCCCACGTTGGCTCTCAGACCCGCCACACAATGGGGGTTCAATTACAGCACGCCCCCCCCCTCCAATCTACCACGAGAAGTTGCCAAACGCCACTGTATCACTATAAAAACCCTCAGTGAGGGGCTTTATGCGGGGACCCCCGAGCTACTGAAACCAGGCCTTCCTCTAAAGCACATATGTCAAAGTCAAGGCCCGTGGGCCAGATCCGGCCCGTGAATTGATTATCTATGGCCCGCTGGATGATATTTAATTATTATTAGAACAGGCCCGCAGGCCACAGCCGCCCGCTGGTGTTTTGCACGCACCAACACTACATTTCCCACAATGCAACGGTAGCCCGCGAAGTCACTGCAGCGCGCACAAACGGCTTCATTCGTTCAGAGCAGAGATTGACTTTTTGATACCCCCTCCTCAAAAATGACTAAACGTAAGGTGGACGCTGAGAACAGGGGGTTTCAGGCCAGGTGGGAGGCAGAGTACATGTTTACGGAGGTAAAAGGCAAACCTGTGTGTCTGCTGTGTGGAGAAAGTGTGGCTGTAATGAAAGAATTTAATTTAAGAAGGCACTCTCAAACGTCTAAGAAACACACAGACAAAGACAAGAATATGGAATATGAACAAAAGCTACAGAAGGTGGAAGAATTAAAACGAGGCCTTTAGTCCAGACAGGCTATGTTCACATATGCTAAATCACAAAGTGAGGCTTTGTTTTATTGGCCCTCGGTGTGTTTGACTTTGACATCCCTGCTCTAAAGCCTTCAGACGGGGGGGTTTACCTCTCGGATCTTGTCTCGTTTCTCTTTGACGTCGGGCTCCGGCGGCTCCCCGTCGCTGACGCCCACCACCTTGGGCATGGGGACGGGCGGGAGGGGCTTAGGCCCCGCCTCCTTCTTCTTCAGGTCCTCCACCACCTTGGCCTTCTCCGTCTGGATCTCGGACTTGAGCTCCTCGCGGGACTTGCGCAGCTTCTCCTTGGCCTCCTGCAGCGCTCGCTCGTGGTCGGCGCGGATCTTGTCCCGCAGGCTCTCCTCCTCCTCCCTGCGGGAAGAAGACAGACAGCGCAAATATTTGAGTGCGGCCCGAATCCCCCATTAAAGCTCGGCGGGGTGCTCGCCGGATAATCGAATCAAAACCGGGGCTTTACAGATAAAAAAAGGTGAACGGGCTCATTTCTGCTCGGAGACTAATCCGACTCTACGGCAAAAGCGACACGTCCTGCCGGGCGCTTTCCAACAAACAGCTGCAGGCAACCGGGCTGGAGCTCGCCCACCTCTGCTCCACATCGTTATGGGACATAAACATTATTTTTATTTTTTTAAAAAGCAGAAACATCAGCCTCTCCGGTGGAAACCAAATACCCCAAACTGGCTAATCTGCACCCACGCCAGCTCCAGGAAATAGGACGGGTGGGGGTCAACACAATGAGGCGGCCGGCCGCGCAGACGTGACAACGAAGCCCCCCCCCTTTGGCTACGCGTGGTGGAACGGGCCCTGGGGGCGCTGACACCACGGCGCCCCACGAGGGTGCGTTCAAGTAATGAAAAACAAACATGGCTGGATGCTGATGCGAAAGTGGAAACAGGGCAAAACGACTGCCCTCCTCCTCTGCGGGCGCCCAGGGAAGGGCGCTGGAAGCGTGCCTTTAAATGCCACCGTCTGATGCTCGGTGCGACAGGAACAGTTGGTAAATAAATAATGAAAGAGTGTCAGCTGCGACAAACACTGATAAATGTTTGAGAGCAGACGGCAGCTCCATTATCCACTAAATGGTGACGAATCCGTTCTGTTTCGGCTGAAAACACTTGACATTAAACAAGCCATCAGCACTCGCACACTCTGAAGTGAGAGTCTGTGTCCTTCGCTTGGTGTTTTTCTTTTCATCAACCCACTACTTTCAACCTTTAGTCGCATGTCTGCATGACTCTAATATGTGGTCACAGACCCACAAACCTGACCACTGCTGAGAGTCCAATAGCTAGGAAAAGGTAGAGTCCAGTCCGTTTTTTTTTTTTCATTTAAAAGGGAGGCTGTTTTTTTGCCAAGAAAATGTCCACTAATGTGGATGGTTTTCCACCCAAATCACCTCTAATGTGAAATATCTGTGCATCACAAGCGGCCGCACGAAGCCCAAACGCAACAGAGTCGTCTGAGACTTAACACGCTTTCGTGCGATTGTTTATCGCCGTCCAATCAGTCAGAGCAGGAAGCGCGGACGACCTGCTGAGATTCATGTGGATTCAGCTGGGAGCCCCCCCCCCCCTTCCCCCTCCCTGAGATAACAGAGTTCACCACCTGGGAGCAGGAGAAAACAATAAGCGGCGCGTCGGAGCGCCTGCGGGACGGCGGCGGCGCTCGTCTGTGCCTAAAAACATCCAATAAAGCTTCTCGTCGCCGACGGTAACGGATGATCCGAATGAGGATCCTGCAGCTGCTGTGCACGTGTGGAAACTACGGCGCACGCCGCTCAGGACCTCATCAATTAATAGCTACAAACCAAGGAAGTGGAAGAAGAAAAAAAAGAACAAAGGAGGATGATAATGTCAGTATTGTGTAATAACACAATAATACTGGATGGTTGGTTCATTTTGCTCCAATCTAGTTGCTGCGACAAATAGAGGAAGCTAATAACATCATTTGCTGAATCTACCCATGTTTTTTTTTTTTTTTTTTTTTTTTTTACCCTCAGCGCTCTGGGGCCTAGTTATGTGTCCAAGTATTATATCCTTTTTTTTTCTTTTTTTAAACCAATTCCATTCCGGAGGCTCATTGTGAGACATCATGGTATAAAAGAGTGTCTCTCTCGGAATGAGTGAGCTGTGCCTCCACAGTGACAGGAAGCACGTCCGGTAAGATGTAACTGCTGACCGCCCGCCGGTAAATACCTGCGACTGGAGCGGGGTCGTTGAGAATGCGGCTTAATGCAGATTAAACCTTGGACGTTTGTGGATATTCGGCCTGAAGTAATACAGTGAGGCTACTTCATGATTAAACCCTTCAAAAGTCCCTGACTGTGCACAGTGCGGTGTTTAATGTGCAGCGTGAGGCGGCCCTCGGTGACACCAGAGCAGAGCCGGCGTGTGAATCCAGCTGTTTTCGGACTAATGGAACAGGTCCAAAACAACAGGAGGTGTCGCACAGCTGCAGGAATGCAGAGAGAATGTCGGGGCAGGCAGGAGGGGGGGGGTAGTGTTAGCAGACAGAAGAAAATGAATTACAGTAAAGCCGCTGCGCTGAACTAAAGAAAAGCAAACCAGACGGCGGCGTGTGAATGCGTCTGAGCCGCAGTGAAAAGAGACGAAGGACAGAAGGAGAGGCAGAATGTAGGAGAAAGCCACGAGATGAAGGGGCTGGAAAAAAGACATTTTTCCACTAATTCTCTTTCACGCCGTACAATGGGCGTCTCTTAAATCCATCATGGCACCGGCTGTGGAGCCGACCGAGACCAAAATAAAAACAGCTTCCAAGTTACACAACATCCCCCTGGAAACAACTAATGAATATTCATGATGCGGACCAGCATGGCCGAGTGGCAGGGACTCTAACGGGCAGAGGATGGTGCATCTTTTGAGGGTTTCTGTTGCAGGTTTCCTCCATTTCTAAGTCGGGCCGGAGGTTTGATCTCCTGCTCGGTTAAACCGAAGAGGGTCGCAGCTCCTCTGTGCCGGCCGCCGGCCTCCGTGCACCTGACAGGCAGCCAGAAACGTCCCTTTAAATATTTAGAAGGTGCCGATGTCAGGCGCCTAACGTCCGTCTGTTGGAGCCGTAAAGAAGGATTTCACATGGGTGAATTTTTCCTCATGTGTGAGTCAGAAACCGGTAAACAAACTGGTAAAGTAACGAAATGGGAAAACATCCGTTTCAGAGAGACTGACGCAATATATTTCAGTAAATGGAAAAACACATTGGATAGGCCTTCTCTAGAATATTTGCCTTTTTCTTTACTCAAACTGTGTCTTCTCACCCATATCCCTCCAAACTCCCAGACCAGTTCCTCCAATCAGATCAGGATCCCAATTACGGCTCTAAATTCCAGTCAGCTTCACGCCTGCCGTCCAATCAAATCAAATCTGGACTAAAGCTATGTATTCTCAGGTGGAGGGCATGAGGTTTCTGGGGGATGTCATTGGAGGCTAAACGCACACGGAGGGCAAAGAGATCCAACTACGCCTAAATTGCTTAATGGTTCATTTATTTGACTGCGGGGCCGAGCAGCTGCTGCCCGGGGAGGAAAATATCAAAATAAAGCGGAGTGTTTCTACCATGAAGTGAAACACAGCCGTATAAACCAGCATAAGCCACAAGGCTACCCGACCTGGATGTTTTAAGCATTTCCTGTGAGTTTAGCCCACATTAAGCATCAATTATCACTCTGACTGTCTTTTTTCCCCCACTGTGAGCGGGTTCATTTGTAGGTTGGAGAAGAAATGCCTGCCCATAGGTCAGACTGACCTGTGTCAATTGATTTTTTTCGCCAAAATATCATATTTTGTGGGTGATGTCTACTCAGAAAAAGGCACGTGCATTCTTTGTGCCTAATTTCCAGCACATGTACATGGGCAGCACATGAGCCAGAGTCCCACAAGAGCCATGAATCCATCCCCCCATAATTGTCCATTTACATATAAAAACACGATCGACAACCAAAGCAACAGTCAAAAAGGAAGAGCAAGAAATTCAATGGAATAAAAGAGGAAATTAATTTTCAATTGGCATGTCAGTTCTGAACCAACAAACGGCTCAAAAACCACTGAAAGGAAAGTGATTCATTCCAAATTCAGAGCAAAGAATCCAGCAGATGGGGGGAAAAGCAAAAGCTCACATAAGGACATCACGAGGGCAACGGCCAGCCGGCGGACGCCTGGCGGTTAGGTGCAGATGGAGCCCTGTGCGCTGGCTGTTTTCTGACACTGCCTTTTGAAGCCAAAAGCAGACGAAATTAGGACTGTAAATACTAAAAGAGGCTCCACGGCCGTTATGGCCGACTTTTACTGTCGTTGTTCATAATGCGGAAAAACACTAATGCACAAAATAAAGACATAAAAACGCTGACACACTTCTCTAATAAAGGGATTCCCCAAAAAACAACTGCTCAAAACCTGGAAAGACCACACCAGGTTTCTGAAAGCGAGACGGTAAAACGATTCGTGCACTTCAAAATGGGGTCTGCACGGGCTGGACATGAAACAAAGGGTCAGCACCGGCTGGGTTTCTGTCCTGATCTGAAGTCGTGAAAGGAGTGTGATGGAGGGCTAATCACCACATCTTCTGAGAGGTGCGACCTTTCATTTTGAACTGAGCGCAATGAGACAGAGGCAGGACAACAGCAGGGCGACTAAAGGCTGGAGAAAATGGGTAAAACAGGGAAAGAAAGGACCAAGTAGACAGACTGAGAGTGCTTACTCTGACACATTTATTGGGCCGAGAACCCAGAACACGTGCAAACTAATCGAATCAAGTGTCTTCCTCCTTTCTCTGGCCTCCGTGTCGCACACTCGCTCTCTGACACAAACAAACACAATCAAACAAACACAGAACCGGCACCGAGCACGGCCCGGCTCGTTCATGCCTCTAAAATAAGCACTTTCTACATCCAGGATTCACACCATTTCACTGACTTTTGTCCTGGTCCGGATGTTCGGGTCAACTCAGATCTGATCTGGACTCCGGACTGGATAAATATTGCCGCTTTAAAGAATTTCCCATCTGCTTTCCCAGCGGATTTCTTCCCCTCGTACCTTCTTCCAAACATGGAGCAGCTCTACAACCTCAAAAACAGGTATTTCGAGGTCGCCGTCACATAAACGTCCAGCGATTCAGAGTGAAAAAACTATTTCTGTTATCTAAAACAAAACCAAAGGAATGTGGTTCAGATAACAGCGCTGACGCCTTCAATCCTGCACCAACATGCACCATTTGTGGACAAAGTCACAACTAACTGTGTTGGTTTCAACCACCTGCAGCATCGACACAAAACTATTTTATATTTCTAAAACCACGGAGATGGGCGACTTTTCTCTGGAGCTTATGCAACAGCTTTTTGCTCCGCTGGCTGAGGACGACGTCCAATCACTGAGGCTCTCCAAAGTAGCCACCCAGCTCCTGGGCAACACGGCAGCAGCCAAACTATGTTGCTTTTTAAATGGCCAGTTTATCAGCGACCTCTTGGAGGAATTCTATTCCTTTTGTTTTACACGCCTTAGTGGAAACTAATGTGAAAACACTTCACAGCTTTTATTAACCTTGAGCGAGGTTAAGAGCCTGAGGCGAGTGACGCATGTGGGGAGTTTGTTCTCTGCCTCCAATCAGCATATGCTGTGTGTTAATGAACATTTTACAGAAAGTCATCAAAAACCGCATTAAGAATAATGACATCACTCACTAAATGTTTCTTTGTTTCTGCATGCAGCTAATTATTGTTCTCGCTTAAGTCTGTAAAGCAAATGTTCCCCATATGAATTCTCTGTCTCTCACAAAATGTCAAAAATCCCTTTTTTCAGAAGTGTTCTTTAAATTGAAATTTATGAAGTTCTGCACATTTTTGCTGGAAACTTA